TGCCTTTACAATCCTAAATCAAATATGGCCAAATTTTTCCCTGTAGATTCAGAAATTGGATTATTCTGGGATTATTCTGAAGCCTTTGTGTGCCTGTCTGGAGGTATCGTTTCAGCAAGCTTGGTTAGCGGTGTGTGTTCAGTGGAGGCAGGAGCAGCGGCTTTACGCACCTTCTCCTCTTATACCACCCCTGGGGTGGAGGAAAATAAAATGTACACTTCAGTGTTACACGTTACACAAGTCTGATTGTGCAGTGCTCTTAGTTAATGTGTCCTTTTGCCCACTAAGGAATTGCTGCACCTCAGTTAATTTGTCTATAAAGACAGGCTGTACATTACTATTTATATACTAAGTTGCTTTGGGATAGTAATGAGGCTATAGTGCCAATGAAATGGAAAAAAAAAAATTGAACACGATGTTCACATATATATGTCTGTGTGAGATACAGGCTTTACAGGCTTCTCCCATGCCACTTATCTTCAGATCCTGCTGATCTTCTGTTCCAAGTGCATACAAAATAGTGTGCTGTGGAGAAAGCAGGGATAGTAGTTCATTCCTCTCCCTTGGCAGCCCCTTGGCATGTGTCTGGGTTTGGAAAATGGGAAGGAATGAAGTCATGGGAAATGGGGTTGTTTCTGCCACTGGTTAGAGAAAAAGCTACCTCACTAATTACAGTGTTGGCTAACACACGGACCCTGTGAATCCCTAGATTGTTAAGACATTCACCAATGTGTTGTTATTTCCCCTACTGTCCAACATGTACAAACATTGCAAAGTTTTGGTCTAGTCCTTGGCTTCTCTCCCAAACAACTCTGAGCAGAGGATGTCTGTCTTTCTCTCTGCCCACGTAGCTTGTTCCAGCTGCTGGAGCTTTTTCAGTTCTGGGAGAAGCTGCATCTGCACATGTCTCTGCCAGATTCATTTCTTCTGGCTGCAGTGGACTTGCTGCGTGGAGCCATGTTGAACACCTGGTCAGAATCATTGTAGTTTCAGGGAAGGTAGCTGAAGAATTTCCAGACTGCTTCTCCTTTAGTGTCCCCGTTCTCCTTTAGTGCATAGTTTTTAGACTTCATCCCTGTTCTCTATTCTATACCACTAATGTTTTCAGAAAATTCCCACTCTACCGTGTCTCTATTACTAAAAACACGAAGCTAGGTTCTGCTGCTTGCAGCATGGCTTGGTTCTGGCCAAGCAGTAACCAGTCATTGCTTTGTGTTGTCTTCGCATGCGTTGTGCACAAAGGTGGAGAACATGAAGAATGCGGCCAGCAGCATGCAGTGTGTGAGGGATATCAGGGAAATACTGCATGGGGCAGAAGTCAGGAAGCAACCATCTTCTTACCCAGCTTGTGTTTACTGCACGCACAGCTTGTATGCATGGTAGCAGAGCGTGCGTGACAATGTATAGGCATGACTGGTAGCAAAGGAGCACTTGTTTACTGGGATTTGTGAATAATTTCCTAGCCTTAATCATAGAACAGCTACAGCAATGAAAATGAAACAGTAATTAATATTCATTTTGCTTTTATTCTTTAGAAATAAGTGCTGAATGATACCAGTGTTTAAATATTTAATGATTTAAGGTGTTTGAAATGGTAAGACAGTTTTATGCATAGACCATAACATTTTGGACAATACATAAACATATATTTGAAAACATTTTCCAGAATGCTGTTTCCATTCAGCCTGTCATCTTGTTCCACACGTAGTGATTCCTTTGCTATGTTTTTCCTTTTTTCCTTCTTTTTCCTTGTTTGTTACAGAGAGGAATGGTTTCTTCTTGCTATCTTAACTTGCGCTTTGTTGATACGAAAACATAAATTATTCCTAATGCAGTTCTTCCTTAAACATTCATTGTATGCTGGTAGGCTCAGCCGAGATGGGATCACCAGGGGAATGGATGACTCAGGCTTTTGCACACTGAGTCAACAGTCACAATGAGTAGATTCATATAACTTTGGCATGTAAGTACAAGCTGTCACTTCAGTTCCCTGAGTTTTGTTGATGAGTTTTTCCAGAATTATTTCAAGCATAGTGAGGTATTGAGAAGTAGTGTGACCGAAGTATGGTCTGCGTGAATGTAGGTTATGGTGTGAAGTATATTAACATTAGGTTACCTGCTTTCACTGTGTTAAGAAAACAGCCTTGCTCTGCATTTTGTGTTTGTATTTTCATCAGTTTCTTTTGAATAACTTGTTGGTCATGTTCAACAGATCTATTTAAATTCAGAGCATCCGGCTTGTGTTTTCTTGCACAGCCATGTAATGTTAAACCTGTCCAAAGAGTGTTGCCTGTTTCTCTGGGAAGACTTAAGATTGTCAGAGGTGCTGCCTGTAAAATAGTTTAAGGGGTAATAATTCCAAGTGGGGCTGTGGAAGTGGACAGGATGTGAGTAAGATAAAACAAACTTCTCCTATCAGCTAAAAAGATGCCCTTACGTTTTGTTAAACATGTCATTCAGGGCATTTTTAAGGGAAGTGATGTGCTGGAGCGCCCAAACTGACACATTCTGTGTCACTCCAAATCTTCTATTCTCTGCCAGTGACAACCTTATTGAGTATCTTCTCTGACTGAAGGGTGGCTGTGAGCAGCAGTAGCCCCATGTCACAGTAGGCACAAATAACTGTCAGCACAGTAGATGAGTGTTTGATTTTATTTCATCCATCTTTCTGCACTGGGGGCTCCCAGAGACTTGTGGTTCTTTGTGCTGATCCTTCCGACTGGAGGTATGCAGATGAATTATTTTCATATCAACTCTATCCAGTAAAATTCCAGATCATGTTGCTGGGCTGCCTGTTTATGAGGAAATGATTTACTGACTGGTTTCCTTACAGTCATAGAAATGAATGGTCTCCTGTGCTCAGATACCGCCAAGATAGTGACCACTTAGTACAGTCTTCTTCCTATCTTTTAAAGTTTTTCAATTGCATAAAAGCCTGTATGAATAGGCTGATAGGAAACTTAGTCCTATCTGGTTCATGTTTTTGAGATACCCCACAGGTAAATCAAGCTTTCATTTATTGAGAGATTTACCTTTGTTCACCATGCACTAGTACTTCTTACAAGACTTCAGCTGTACTGTTCTTGCTAGAGCCTCTGTAGTTTTTTTTTCCCTACAAAGTTTGTCTTTTTCTGTGTTTATCTTCTTATATATTCCTGTCATCTTTGGAGGTCCACTGAAACGTGAGCTTGCTAGCCTTCTTTTGTGATGGCTGTGAAAAATTTGACTGAATGTGTGTTAGTGTTCCAGGTTCTGGTAGGGAACATCAGCTCTCTTGTTGTTCCTTTGAAACAGCACATCCTAACGTGCTGCCTTCTAAAAGCAGGATTACAGAGCGGACCAGCCATGTAAGGGTTGGATGGCGGTGTAAGGATTTGAGGTGTCAGTGGCTGTTGGTGGAAGTTGAAGTTCTGATGATTTCGTACCAATTCATTATGCCAGGTGTGGTTGCTGGCAGACTGTTACTTCAGGGTCTTGTGATGAGCTTTAGAAAGGCTGTAGCTCAAACTGGCAGGTGTCTGCCCGACCTTTTGTGCTGTAAGTGCTTTTTAGTAAATATAATGAAATAATTCTGCTGGGCCTGTCAGATGTTACTGATATTTAGAGTGATTTCAATAGTACGGTGAGCCTTAGAGATAAAGAATCACTGGTAACTTGCTATTCAAGTCTGGTGCTACTTCATGAAGACTCCATCATGCACAGACCTTTATTGTTACCCTATTTTTACCACCAAATGATAAGGTAAGCTTGAGGCTCGACAGATATCATTGGAAGTTTGTGCTAAAGCAGAAACTTCAAGATATTCCATGAAGGTTGAATTTCACTGTTTTCTTGTTCTCTTTTAAACCATTATGGAAGAGTAGGGGAGAAAAACACAACACCTTTGGACAGTTTTTTTTTTTGTTTTTTTGTTTTTTAATGTAATGCTCAATCAGCAGGTGCAAACCCTTAGGGGGGAAAAAAAATATAAACCAAGCAGGGTTGGCCTTTTGTGTGCATCAGAGCTTTTCTTGCCTTCTCATCAGACCAGGTTTGCTTACTGTGAGGATAATCTGCCTCACCTTTAGAAAGTTAAAGGTCAGCTGCACTTGAGGAAGCCCCTGGTTGGCAGTGACTGCTAGAAAATATCCCTAGCTCTTTCTTGACAATTAGCCTCTCTGAAACCATAGGCTTTTCTTTTCTTCCCCCAGGATTCTAGGATCCCAGAGTAGTTCTATGCAATACAGAAAATGCTGGATAAATCTTATTGCAGGACTCACTGTTGTGTGTTCATTACGGAATATAAGGTGCATGGGTTGTGTTTTTGAGCCAATGCCCTGTTAGTACATGTCCTGTATGCAAAGCAATTAATTGTGCTTTTGTTTCTTCCCCCTCCTTTTTTCTTCTTTGGTGCTTTTACCCTCCTCCCTCCCCCCCCCCCCTCCCCCCTCCTAGTTTTCTTCCAGAAGGCTTTGAGGTATTTTAGTCTGAGTGAACTTGACCATCTCCATGACTATAAGTCTAGGTTAAGAATGAATTATTAAACAAGAATGGGATTGCTCCATATTTACCAAGTAAAATGAGTTTTAATGATGATGTCATATAGCCAGAATACAATTACACTTCTCATGTATATGCCAGTCACTAACAAGAGTTGGTTTTTTGCTGTCTGCTTTTAGGTATGTAGATTTTTTTTCTCTGTTAGTTCTAGTGAAAAGTTGGTGATGTAGTGTCAGGCTATGTAAACCAGTCTAATGACTGATAGCATTGAACTGGTTTAGAATGTCTTTCAAGTGGTCATATACTGTGAGAATTGACAGAAAAGAGATAATCATTTCAGGCTGCAAAGATTTTGAGGCAAATTAAATGAATGCTTATGTAAAATTACCCACTATCCCAATGTGTGCGTGTGTGGGTATGTGCGCGCGCATTCATATACCGGAGCTGATGAGCCTCTGGCAGGGAGCTTTGCAGAAGCTGTGAGTATTTTTAGTGGAAACGAAATCTCAGTTCAGTTCTGCAGCATGTGACTTCCTATTTCTGTAAGTTACTTCCAAGGTACTTCCTCTGTTAAATCGGCTTGTCTCTGGAGATTTGATCTGGAGCTAGCGTGGTCTGCTTTGTCCTGTGCTTGTGGCAGAGTTTTCCCAGAGTTTTCATTTGAGTATTTTATTTTTCTTTTGTACTGTCTCCAGCATGCAAGGGTCTAGTGGCTGCTACCCGTGATCGGAAGCTGAATACGTTTATACAAGTCTCAGTGGTACATCCAGCAGAGCACATTTTGACGAGGTATTCAAGCACTGAAATCGTGGAGGTGAGAGTCTTTCTTATTCAATTAACATGTTGATTAATGAATTGCTCATTTTTTTTCTTCAGAAAGTGAATGAGAAATAAAGCAAGTTAGTGCATAGTCTTCAGTAAGGCAAGCACACTCTAGCTGTTACCAGGGCATACCTAGGAGTGTTCTGTAGTTCTTGGCATTTGACCAGGACAAACAGTTAGAAATGAACTTGCCTTTTCATGAAACCTCTGTTTTTCCAAGCAGAGACGTAGAAAATACTCCGCTTCTTCACACACTGGTCTAGACTGAACAGGGAGTAGTTGCTCTTGAAAGAGCAAGACTATGCAAAATAAAGCTAAATGTGAACTTTATGGAAAGTATTTTTAAATTACAGAAGGATGCAGTCACGTTAAGTAGATTTATACTTCGGTTTACTTTTTCTCTTTTGGAAAGTTGACATTTTTGCAACTTGAAAAATATTAGCCTGCTATTAGGAGAAGTGTGTATGTTATGTCTGAATTCATATAAAATAATTAGTAACTTGAATTGCATATTACAGCACAAGTTGTCTCAGGCTGTTTTGCTAGTTTTCATTTTCCCTGTAAGCATTAGTGTCACAAACAGCAAAAACTGTTTACATGGAAAATTATTTAAGTCTGAGCAGACAATGTAGGTGTAACTTGTTTGATTTACTGTAGAGATTCATTAAGAACAGCAAAGTCTTATTGTAAATACACACCTGAACTTACTTTACAGAAGGCTTGTTTTAACTTAAACACAGTGAGAATATTTCAGGAGCTCTTTGTGATCTTCATTCCACCTAACTACTAATTAAATGGTTACAGTTGCAGCCACCTACCGTCCTGAAACTGCTTAATTCAAATACCTTGTATCTGCTCAGGATGTTTCATTGCAGACTGTCTGGAATGATGTTATGTGGAAGATAGAATAGTGTTGTGGGTTTTTTTGTTTTGTTTGTTTTTGTTTTCTTTGTTTTTAATAGAAGTGCATGCATTTCCTAACACAATCTCCTGATACAGGACATATTTGAGGGCATGAGTAAACCCATCAATTTCTGTCAAGGCTCTTAGCTTCTTTCACAGTCAGGCTTTGGGGGAGGAGGAGGCAGGGGCACAGGAAAGCTATTTTGGGCAAGTGAAGTTATGTTCATCATGCTAGAAACTTTATTTCACTTAATAGAGAATTTAAGGATACTAGTCTCATAACCTTTGGGAGGGCTTTTTTGGTTATAATTGAACATTAAGGAGTTACAGGCAAAGATTTTACATGATCAATTTAATTGTTTATATATTTGAAATTATGTTACAGTAACTTCCATGTACAGCCTGCAGATGTGATCCTAATGTTACAAAACATAGGAATGTTGTTTTAGTCTATTACTATCCAAAGAAAGGAAATGCAGCCCCTCCAAAAAATCAGTATCCTTAATGTAACACACGGTTTCTGTAGCATTTTTATAGACATTTTATTATGATTTCATTTATACAACAACTAAGAAATGTTATTTATGGGTTTAAATTAATGTATATTTTGAAATACTTCCTGAAAGTACCCCAGGACACTGCTTATTACAGATCATTATTTCACATATTGATGCCTGCAGACTGAACTGTTTGATGGCATGCAGCTGAACTCTGTTTCAGAAGCACTAAAATTCTTTTCCACTGTGAAAAAAATTGTGAAGTTGTCCAGTTTGTTATTAATTCTGTGTAACACTGGGATTTCTACAGCAGAGAGAGATGAACAACTAACTACTTTTAAGGAGCTCACTGTTTCTGTACGTGCATCCCTAATGGCATGCTACATATTGCACAGCTGTTACTTTACTGAATATTTACTTGTGTTACGCAGGGAACAAGAGATCCACTGTTTTTGACTGGTGTGACATTCCCACCGGAGTACCCCATCTATGAGGAGACGAAAATAAAACTAACGGTCTACGATGTCAAAGATAAATCTCAAGACACGGTGAGTGTTTTGCTTCATTGCTTGCAAAATCTTATTGAGTATTTAAGTTTCTCACTGCGGTGTTCTTTGGCCCTCTTTAGCAGGTTTACATACTAAAGAAATGAGGATACGTAGAATTGGTTTTGCTTTTCTATTGTACCTAAAATGTACTTTTTGTTACCATGTTAAAGAATAGAGAAAGAACCATTAGCTTTAAACAGACCCTTTGCTATTGTTCAATTGGTTACATCAATCAGAACACATTGCTGAGAAATAAAAGATTGCTCCTGTGTGCTTTTTGATGACAGAGAACATACGGAATAGATTGAGGTAACATAAAGTTTTCAGAAATGTTTCTGATCATATTTTACTTTTATGACAAAACCAGGTTAATAATAGAACCTGTAACGTGATGTTTGAGGGGGATGGTCATTTTGGATTTTAACCTCTTGGGTGGTGATACCTGCAACTCTACTATGACTCCTGCTATTACTGATTCTTAAGGGTCCAAAATTGTGTCCACTACCAAGGGTGAACCATTTAGATTCCAATGTAATACATTTTTGGTTGCCATGTCAGCTTCTTATGCTCAGAAACAGTTATTTCAGATGATATGTGGAGGTCAGTGGGACTATTTGAGTGATTTAAGTGTCAGACATAGACCTTGTGCCATTTTGTGTGCTCCAGGTGATCCAGGACAGACTTACAGTGCTTGAAGATATAATAGGACCTATGAGAGAATTGTGGTTTTTGTCTGACAGCTGGACTCCAGCTGATAGGCGTTGGAAGCAGCCCTTGAAACCTGTATTTAATTAGCTGAATTGCTCTTTATGTATCTGTAATTGGCCCCCAATTTGATTAAAGACTATATGAGCTCATGTCATGCCTGTGTATGCAGTCATTATCCATAAGAAGGAAATTAAAGGGGTAGCTTAACTTCTGACTGTCTTTGAACTGCTTACGTGAGTGAAGTTATGTTCAGAGAACCTCTATATTTTTTGAAGATAGAAAATAGTTGATACGTTTGTTTAAATTTTAGAGTTGCGAGCAAACAGGTTAGCTCTTCCTCCTTGCTCTTCTCTTTAATGGGAGTCTGTGGAGTATTTTACCTGTAGAATGTGGATTTCTCTCAATTTATAGACTAAGGTATTTTTTTCTGGTTAGAAGTAACTGGGCAGGAGAGTGTACACTTCTCAGAATGAGAGTGATTTAATTTTTGATTGTGGTTCAGATTTAGGGGCTACAAATGGTATCTGCTGTTTCTTCAATAGAATTGTCACCTATGAACAGATACAGGAATTAAGTGAAAGGGGTTTGACTTTGTCCCATCCCTTCCAGTTCTTAAGCTATTGTGACTGACAGCATGATGGATAATAATATTCCATCTGTAAGGGCAAAAATGGACTTGATTTGTAGACCTATCCCTGTACTTTCCTTCTAGACATATACTGCCTATTCTACAGGACAAATTACATATGAAAGATCTAGTCTAGAGCATGAATATAATTTGATAGCTTTTAAGAACTTTAAAGAAACTTTTGCAACTGTTCCTTATAATTGAGTACAGGACTGGAGTCTGTCCCAGAGAATCAAATTAATATAGCTCGTAAGACTCTGGAGATGTAATATTTTCCTTTGGAAATTGGAAAATGTTAATGCCATCTGTTTTACGTGCATTTAACCTTTTTTAATAGTCAGCTTTCTTAAAGCTGTCTATAGGTAAGAAAAGATTAAATCAGCTGTGAGATCAAAATCAGGGTATATTGCAGCATGTGTGAATGACCCTGGGCCACCCAGGTTGAGACTTGATTTGTGGCAATATTTGGACTTTTGCTTATTTCCTGGAATATGAGCAAGGATAAAACTAATGGCTTGACTTTCTTTCCTATAACTGGAAGCTGTCACACTTTCCTGTTAGTTCAGGTGGTTTTGTTTGTCTTGTTTTGAGTCTTAGAGATGTATCTACATTCATAAAAGTCAGCTTTAACTGAGCTAGCTTGATACTACCACTGGCTTGGCAGCAGCGCTACAGAGCTCAGTGCTTGTTTTATGATTCAAGAAGTGGGATGCATCCCTTTTGCAGAGAGCTTGTTCCAAGTGTTGTGGCTTTACAGTTACGGTTATCCAGGCTACAGTGAAGTTGGCTCCTTTGGTCCATACAAACTGCTGCCACAGCTTGTGACCACAACACGTAGCCCTGCCATCCCTGCAAACTCCAACACAGGCAGTCCCCATGGGGTGAAGAAAATCCAAGGTTGCTGGGTGTTCTGTGCTATGCTCAGCTGTGCTTCAAGGCTGGTCATATTTGTCTCCAGCTCATGAAAGTGATTGTTTACGGCAGAAAAAACCTAGGATGTGACTGCTGAATGTTTTTGCAGAAATTGGACAAAAAGCAACAGTAAAAAAAAATTCCCACAATATCAGAGTTATTCTACTCTTAGTACTTAAGTTAGCCATTTCAAAGTAGCTGATATCACTCACCACACTGCAGTTCAGCAATATGCTTATTCATTTCTTATTTCTCATTTCTCTAGTAATTTTAAATGAAGTTAAAGGAAATAAATTCTGTGTGTTAGTCAAACTTTGAGCAGGATGTTACTGTCACAAATGGAGGACTGTAGAGAAAGTAGGGAAAGGGCAGTATGTATCTCACAGGATTAAAAGATTTCTTGTGTTTTGCCTAAGCCTAGTTTTGTCTATACAGAAAAAGATTAGGCCTTGTTTTCAATCCAATTGGACTTTTGCTGTAATGCAGAAATATTTAGATACTTCTCAGCTTGTACACACAGGTCATGATGTAAAGTGGAAGGGTATGCTCCCTAGTGACAGACAACCGGATTATTTTTTTTTTGCATTGCTGATACGCTGTTTATGCTGCTCTAAAAAATAAAAATAAATAACCTTGCAATGCTTATATCAGGAAACAGGTAGTTGGCTTCAGTCTTGTCTGTCATTTAACTTGCATTTATAACAGAAGAGCAGCTTAACTATATTTAAGTACTGTGCAGCTGGTATCACATTCACTGTACTTTACACGCTGGATGTCCTAGCTGCACTTTTCCCTTTCTTTGCATGTCTGTTTGATGTTGATCGTAATTATATCTTGGCTGTATCAGGTTGTCTGTAATTGAGACTTCTTAATAGAATGAGACAACTTTTGTTATGGAGAAAACAGAACATGAGGTTACTGTAAATTTTCATGTAAATAGAAGCTTCTAATAAAGACGATGCTATTCCTACTTAACTTGGATATAGCTGGAATAAAGATGCTAATAGAGTGTTCACGCAATGTAATGTAAATCCAGCGAGGCCGTGCATACAAAGCAGTGGATAATGCCATGTTCTGAAAAATGTACAGTGACATCTGTTTCAACATCAGAAAGATTTTCTTCCCATGTTGCCATAAGCAAGTTTGTTTCAGTGGCTTGAGTTGCACTGCCTTTGAGATTTTTTGATGGTAGGGTTTTGTCTAAATGCTTGGACTGCACCTGTTCTTTAAGTCATTGTCCAAGGAAATTTGGATTAGAGGCTTGAACGTTGTTGAAATATCACCACTGTATGGCTTTTGCACAGGCACGCTATTCTTAGCTTTTTGATAAACATGCAGGTTTGCTCAGTTTGGTCTAGCAAGTTTTAATGCTGAAGCAGGATTAATTCTCTTTGAAAATAATGCTTAGTGCAAGTCGGGTAACACTGCTGCATGACAGATCTGCAAAAGATGTGAAATAGATGAATTCATGTTACATTAAGGGAGGGAGTGCTAAGTGGCTGGTTTGGGAGGCAGCAGTCTTTCTGTTCTGTATTTAAAAGACATACATTTGTGTCCTGCAGCAAGCGCTCTGAACTTCATTGTGTGGAACAGTGTGACTATTTTTAGCCAAGTGCTGTAGCATTGAGTGATAGTGAGGTTTTTGTTTGCTTGTTTTTTCCAGTTGGTTCTTCTGTTTCTGCATCTGATTTGTGTTGATTTGATACAGGTAGAGACCCAGCTTAAATTCTTCCTACACAGACTTTTCTATCTGTAAAGTGGGTGTGAAAACATTCTTGTCTTTTATTATATTAACACAATCTAGAATTGTGTTCATTTAAATGCAGTGAGATGTTCAGGTAAATGCTGTTATCATGTTCTGGCATGGCACGCAATGAGTTGTGCTGCTTCTTCTTGATGCACATGTGGAGAAGTGCTGGAAGCAAGGGGCAGAAGTCTCAGTGACTGCTTTCTGTATCTGGTCTCTGCAGCTCTCCTTTGCAGATTTCCCTTCCAGAGGGAGGAAGAAATGAATCCAGAAGCTTGAGAATCTGCTTCAAAAGCAGAGAATTTCTGTACAGTTATGTTTAGAGACTTAGTTGATTTCTTTTTTTTTTTTTTAATCTTAAATATCAGCAGGTAAAGACAATCTCCTTTGGATGTATTTAACTACTGGAAATCACACGTGATGTTCCGAGTATGAATAACCACTCTAATACTGCCTACTGAGAGCAAGGAGAAACTTGTTACATAAAAGGCAATAGAAAGATTATGCATTATGTAGTCTGGTCTTGCATTTTTTACTTAATTACAGAAATTATAATTTTATTATTTAAAGAGTAATAGAGATAGGAGTGCAAATTTGTATGTGGGAACAAGCATTATGAAATGACAAATTCTAGTTTATTTAGGCTTCAAATTACTTGTCTTTGACTGTTCAATTTTAAATCTTCCGCTAAACTTGCTGACAGTGAATGAAAATTCACAAACGCTTTTCCTTCGTGTGTTTCTTGGTACTGCAAGTATCCCTGTTAAAATTGAATCACACTGGGTTGAGTCGGAAATGAAGACTGTCTGTCATGAAAAAGGCATTTTAAGTTGGATTTGAAGCCAGATCTGAAGTGACAGTCTTCCATGTTCCCTCGTGGGCATCGATCTATATGACAGACCCACCACACAGCTTGGTGTGACTTGCCATTTCTGCTGAAGAGGCTCACTGCTTGAATATTAGTAGCGCTGTGGAGCGGTATGTGAAATGCATTAGCAGAGATAA